AGAGAGAGAGAGAGAGATTAAAACTTATTGACAAGCATTTCCTGAAGCACATGGGAAGTCTCTTCTGCCATCTTTAAACTTAACTAAATCATAATCAAAGATAATTTTTTTCATGATCCATAATCCCCACCTAGGCACAATAAAGAAAAAAAGCATGCACTTGTTAAGGAACGAGATTCGAATACGTGAAAAACTTAAAAAAAAAAAAAAAAACTAGTATACAGTATAATGATTTTAAAATATCTCAAGATTTTACAAAATTCATCTAAATACCACGGAGAGAAAACTAGAATTTTTAATTCGTTCCTACGAAGGATGGACTTTGCCGAGGAAATTCACACAAAAGCAAAATCCACCGTTTAATCCGTTAGCGCTAAAGATACTTTGCAGGGAAATTTCAGTCATAAAAACTTCAACGAACATGAAACCGGGATCAAGAAATGGACCACCCTCCTACTTCTCCTAGAAAAAAAAATGACCAAAAAAAAAAAAATCATGTTCACTTGGCCTCATATATCTTGAACCTGTCGTTTTGACTTAAGAGGATCGAATAGAATGATGATAAACAACGTGAAGAAAATGCTGTTTGAAGGGCGTTGATAACCAAACAAAAAGTCTTATGACACCATAAATTATGACCATTTTTTTAGTTAAACCACCAAAACTGATTAAGACAAATCAATATTTCAACATCTAACAGGCTTCCAGCAACCGATAAAATCATGTATTAACATTAAATAACCGACGAATATCGAACAAACAATTGTTCTGTCAAATCACCAGATGTACTTCAACATAAATACGTACATATTTTATATCAGAGTTGTTCTTTGGTTTCATAGAATACCCATTGAACCAAAAATTTCATCAATTCTAAAGAAACCCATAAAGGAAGGGCCAAAAGGCAAAAGATTTACAACCTTAACACGAAAAAAATTAAAAATTAAATCGAAAGAACAGGCATTGGGTGAAAATACATATCTCCATAAAAGAGAGAAAAAAGGGTGTCAGAAAAAAATTTCTTTCATGGAAATTCCATTAGCATTGCAAGATAAGTTTTTTACAAAAGGATAGCTAAAACTCATACCTGATTGTCTTTCCAAGATATCAGAAAATGATTATACCGGATTCTCAACCTGAAAGGGACAATTACATTCAAAAAAAAATTCCAACAAGAAAATGGAGTTTTGAAGAGAAAATGAGAGAGAGGGAAAAATCCACCTCAAAATAAATGCAGCTCTTGAGAAACCCAAAAACCAGAAACAGGAAAATGTTTTAACGGAAAGGAGAGCGGAAGAGAGAGAGGAAAATGAAGAAGAAAACTAGAGGAGGAAGGAGTGAATTTATAGAGTTTGAAGGGTCATAGGAAACGTGTCAAACAAGGAACTCTCTTCTTCTGGTCGTTGAATTCAGAATGAATACTTCAAAGTAAAACCCCTCGTTTCTCCGTACTTTTACCAAATCCACCGTTCTATTTATAATTATGTCATCTAGGGTTATGGTATTGTTCTATTTGGACAATTTTTTTCTACATAACCTTAAATCGAGCTCGAACTTGTCAAACTGGTTTCTTATGTACCTTCTTAAAGAGTCAAGGTCCAACTTTTATTCGAACAATCTTACTCTGTTATGGCTTGAAATTGGGATGGGCATGGATTGAGAAAACGTCGTAGGGGTTCGGGCATAAAGGGACGGGACAGCAAGGTGACACAAGGGATTGACAGGGGAATATGACAAAGACGGAGGATAACTAGAGTCTAGATGCAATGGAAGGTAACGTTCAAAGCAGGTGGGGGATGGATGCTAGTGAATGACATAGAAGAGAAGCTAGGCTAGAAAGTTGGACACGGGATTATTAGATCTAGGTTTGAGGGAATTCAGAAGGAAGATTTTAAAAAAAAGTGAGATCGACATCGAAAAACAAAATTTTACGGAGTATATGAGGAGGCTAATTTTCAAAGTTGGGCACTGGACTTCGAAAATGTATTTTCTATTTTCTAGATAATTTTGTTTCTTATATGATAAATTCAGATTTTAATTCGATTTATTTCAGATTAATTCTAAATATAATGATTCTAATTTTCTTAGTTATCTTTAATTTTCATCACTATATAGTGTTAGTTATCATCTATATTTTATTTACTGCTTTAAATACAAGTTCTAAGCCTTGTAACAATCGGTTGAATTTGATTGTAATATAGAGTGATGATAATTTTCTCAAAATTGTTTTCTTTTTCTTGTTATTCGAGAGTGAAAAAAAAAAGCTAGATTTTTAATGTGAGATTATGTTTCTTTTTATAAACTTCCGCTACATCTAGATTGTATGGAAATAAATATAAGAAACTAATCATAACACGATACAATGCGACTCATTTGTTATTCACATCAATTTATAAATTACAACTTCGAGAGCAAACCGAAAAAATAGAGTATATTAGGAAAAAATTAATTATAATTTAAGCTGATCAAATGTGCTTTTATTCCACATGTTTTGTAGGATCTACAAATACTATTAATTTGTTATATTCATATGTTTTGTGG